GTGGCGGATGAAAATGGAAATGTGAATGATTCAGCGGAAGGGCCTTCTTTACAATTCAAAGGGCATGGATTAGAGGAACTGACTAGAAAGTTGGAAGAAGAAACAGGGCTAGAGAAGATTATTGTTTGTTCGCGTAACAAATTCAATGGGAATTTATATCCTCTCCGTTTAGCATTACCTCCAAACAATGCAACTATGCATGTTGTTGTAATGCCTGCATCGTCTAAAGGTCAGTATACTTTATTAATCCTCTTTTGAAGAATGTACAATCAGCTGGAAAACTTTTGCAAATAGCATGAGACACATAGTTTTTTAAAACAGAAATGTGATTCTACAATGACAATCGTGTTGTAAATTTGTTACTTCGTCTTTTCATATACGATAACAAGTCTATGAAAGAACTAGTCTTTTCATTTGGATTTAACATTACTAATATTTGATCGTTCGTCTATGAGTATTATGTAATGCAGCCAGATTCTATTACTAATATGTTTGCTGATCGTTCATTTATAAGGTACTATAACTCTCTGTGATAAGGGACAGTCATTAGGCCTTTAGTCTATTTGAATAAAATGTGTGCATAAGTTAGGAAGGAAAGTACTATAATCGAGGAACCATAGATCAAAACAAACATCAAGAGTTGGTTGTTCTCGTCTAAACTAAAGTTCGTCTTTTGTTTGCCCAAAAGAAGTAGTCCTCAAGTGAATCTTTTTGACTATCTTTAGTGTATAGATCTAATCTAGGAGCTTTCATGCTTTGACCTCTGTCTGTTGGTGTTTTCTTCTGTGGTTTTGTAACCCTGCATCTTGTTCATGAATGGCATTGTGCTGCTGGACAGTGGCAAGAGAGCTGACGGCAGATGTTCTTACATCCAAATGGTCGGTGTTGAAGACTCTATCGTGAAACATTTTGCTTGCCAGCAATAAAGTAATTCAATATCTTCCCCAGAACCAGAGACGGATTCAGGATTTGAAGTTTATGGGTTCATATGTGACCTCAAGTTAATCTAAAATAATAATTGGGTTCATAGTCAAATGTTTAGTTGATTTTGTAATACATATAGTACACGGACAAAAGCTATTGTGTTCACGTGAACCAGTAGACAACACTCTAGATCAGCTCCTGCCGGAACTGTAGGCATTTCTTTATTCTTTTGGTATATATTAAGTGAATGTAATGCAACCAAGAGATGCAGATTCCAGTTGAGAGCATTATTTATTTGTTGAGAGTTGACAAATGCCACTTTCTTTGACTGTATATTTTGGTTACATATCAAGTTGAAATATCCAATTCCTTGCAATATGTCGTTATGATTTTCTGTTACTTTGTTGGTATTCGGTTCGAATTGGAGCCTGACTATTCCAAATTCACACCGCAAGGATTTGGGGTTGATAATCTTGATGTACAATACAAGGGATGCAGTATTAGTATTCTAGTACTACTCTCTCCAAACAAGCCTTTTCTTTTGTTGCTTCAAGCAATCAGTCTTCAACACACTGACTCAATTAATTCGATTTCACACCATAAAAAAACCTCATTATCAGGTTCCTACTAAGGATGACTTTATTCTCCGGAATCGAGCACAAAATATTGATTCTCTACTCTAAAATAAAATTCAAGTTCTAAGAACAAAATAAAACTAACATATCATTAGGCATATTAATAAAACAAAACATCTTAAACAGCCAACCTAGCAATTCTTCCAACAATTGAGATAAGAATCAGAGTGATACTCCAAAATATCACCTTTTTATAATTACTAATCCCTCTTCAAGAATCAAATGAATTTTATAAATAATCAGGTTATAGTTTTAAATAGAAACTTTAGTTTTTATACGTTAGGTAGAATTTAAGTTTCGTGCTTAGCTATAACTTAAATTTCACCTAATTACTCGATCCATTCATTTTTATTTGTTACCTTTAGACTTGACACATCTATTATGACATGGTTATTTTAGCACACAACCACTATTAATTGAGCTTAATTCTTCTAGATATTTCTGGATGAAATTGGAAAATAGTCACTTTAGACCACTAATTAAGTTTTATAGTCAATACTAGATAATGTTGCCCGTGCATAGCACGGGCCCAATAATATAAATGATATATTTTGGGGCTAATAACCGAGTTTTTGAAGCGATTGTTTGCGTGGATAAAAGAATAAGTTTTTTGATCACAAACCTGTACTTTCTTTGACGCTATTTAAGGCATAATAAGACTACCCACATACAACATTTTTTGAAATATTTTATGTTGTCAATTATCATGATTTATAGTATTTTTACGATAGATTCA